TCTGTTTTACTATTATGTTATATTTATCTTTGTTAACTTAGAATCAGACTGCAAGTCTTCAATTTCGTCATCTGAAATCTTTTCTTTCACTGAACTCTTATTTAACTTTTGCTCCAATCCCTGTGGACGATATTCCGGTACTTGTACCATTTTATTACTTGGAAAGACGATATTGAGCCATATTGTATACTTGCTTTGTGGCCCAATTCTTTTGTCTAGAGGTGTTAATAATAACACGACCATTCGTATTCTCTTCAAATTAAGTACTAAACATATCCCTATTAACTCTCCATCTAGAAGAGATCTTAAATCTAGGGCATGCAGCTTCAACAAACTGTTTAAAACCCCTCCCTTCAACAAACTTAAATGGAAGTTCATCCATTATAATCATTTTCGCTAACATCTTTCGAACCACTTCTTGGTTCTGTAACACCTCATACCATACATTGCATGTAACATATACTTCATACGAAAGAAATACATGTTTATATATCACTCAGGTCCCTTAGTACAATAATTTACCATACATAATACATGTCCAAAAATTCAAAATACATTTCTTGTACTAATCAACATTCTTCAATCAAAACTATACATCATAGACAAATCTTCATGCAGATATGCATATAGGAAAATATCACATTTTCCCCTTTCCCTTACTGTCCGTACCTCTTGCAATACATATTTAAAATCACAAAACGAGGGTTAGACCGAAAGGTCTAGTGAGTTACCCTATTTATGCCATTGCAGGGTGAAAATCACCAAAACTTTGTACAAAATAAGTTTTCATATATATAACAAATATATGAACAAATAAGGACATATTACAGTATCTTTCCACTTTTCAACTCAAACATTCAGCTATTCATATAACATACTTCAAACTTTTATAGGTTTGAATCAACCAGGTTCTATATCATGCCACTTTTCAAACCTTTTCATTTAAACAAGGTTCATCTAAAGTTTCAGGCCAAACCTGTTATTTTCTCCTTTATAACCTCTAGACTATGATTTCCAATAAAAACCCTGATCCTAAATCTTTAAATCACAAAGAAATAAAAATTCCAGACCATGGTAATTTTAAAGGATATAATAGTAAGAGTTATATTATATAACACACACATACACCTCTCCTTGATATGTCACCCTTATCCCATGGTACACCTCTTCTTAATATATCACCCTTATCCCATGGTACACCTCTCCTTGATATGCCACCCTTATTTCCTCATCAAAAACATTTCACAAAAACAATTCCATTTAGACCGCAGTCAATGGATTTATCAGTTCAAAATCATCTTTATCAAAATTCTCATTTTATATATAAAACAATTATATATAAACCATGCACAAGTCATAATATGAATCCGGTCAACATAGACTTGGCCGGACTTCACCTCCGGTCAAGTCTTGGCCGATTTACCACATCCGGACAACACATCGCCCAAGGCCTATCCGATTTAACACTTAAGAGAATTCCAACACTTTTGTCCGAATAACAATTCTGGAAAACACATCGCCCAAGGCTTGTCCGATTTAAAATAATCCGGTCAACACATGGTCGTATTCATACTTCTCCGTTCAAAACATAAACTCAGTATTTATAAATCGCTTAACACTTGTCCGGTTTAAGACTAAACCGCTTGACTTTTGATCGATTTAAGTCTAATCCGGACAATACTCACCAAGCGGTTTATTTATAAATCGCTCATGCCTTATCCGGTTTAGGGCTTAAATCGCCCAAGGCTTGTCCAGTTTATGACTAAACCGCTCACCCCTTGTCCGGTTTAGTCTAATCCGGACAGCATTCAACAAGTTAAAATAAAAGCTATACAATCAATTTATACAACTGTAAAGAGTTTTCAAAGCAATTAAACCACTCACCTTAAATCTTTTTGAAACCACACACTTGAAATCAATTTGATCTTCAAACCCAGAAATAATCAGGTCAAGACTCTTTTCTCACTATAAATCACTTACTAAAAATGGCAAGAAGATGGTTTTGAGGGCTTCAACCCCTTTTATACCCTTCCCAACCAGGGAAGGCGGTCACACACCACCCCATGCATCCTTATATCATGCATGCGTGTGTATTTATATAAATATATACTCTCATGCACATATGCACATACATGCATGCATATCACACACACATACATATATATATATATGTATATCATACATACATGTGTATTCACATATACACATAATCTCATTCATGCATCTACATTATGCACATTTTCACATACTAGCATGATCAAATATATCGATTTATCATGCTATCACGAAATTATTTAATCAGATAATCATGTATTTATTACTTCGGGTGATAACCATAATTTAGTTATCACATTAAAAACCCAAGAGGTCAAAGCACCATCACTATTTTCAGATTTTGTAGATTGAAATGCAAGAATGGATTGCTTTGTTTCCTTAGCATGTGGATTCTTTAAACAAGCGCGTATGTGGCTATTTAAAGAGGAAGTACCATGCTTTTTAGCCTCAGCTGCATATTTTTTTGCACAATATAAACACTTACCTTTAATGACTAGCCCATCCTTGTTCAAAATCTTCTCAAAATGGTCCCATACTTGAGATCTGGATTCTAACGTTTTCCTTTTCCTTGTACTTTCCGGAACAGATTGAGTTACAGTAGGATTAGATTGTAAAGAAGGAGCTTGATGACTGTTACTTCCGGACTGAGACATGCTAAGGTTTTCCATCTACAATTCTAAACAATATAACAGTATGCTAGAAGAATTTGATGAATAAAAAGTCAAAACCCTCCCAATCCCAGAAATTGAAACACATAAATGACTAAATGAGCTTAAATGATCAAACCCAGGAATATAAACAAAAAACCACCCAAGTTTCTGTTTTCATAATTAGTCATCACCTTAGTTTCTGTTTTCAATCATTATGGTTTTGTTTACCCCCCCCCCTCTTTCCCCTCCCTCTACATCTCTTAAACCAACGTATCACTTTTTGCAGCATGTTTACCATATAAGTTTCTCCAAAGAATAGAACTTGCAAGTTCACTTTGGTACATTAGTAGATACTATATGGGATTTAAGAATATAAACTATCTGGTAGTAGATCTCAACACTAGAGTGAGAGACACTCACAAACTATAAAGTATCCAAGAAAAGTGCTCCTTTATATTATCACAATGAGTGTTCCCAACAAAAGTAAAGCGGTTGGTTGTTAACTCGCAGAAAAATTAATAAAGACAGGAAAAATTTCAACCCAACGTTTTAATTAATAGGTCCATGTAATCCTATCACTCACGATTTGTTTGGAAAGTTCCTTGTCCTCATAAGGTAAAATAAGTGGGATTTAAAGTTTTTCTCTTTATGTAGTTGCTAATTGCAGTTTCTATGTCCGAATGCCAAGTTCAAGAACACTGCTAACGTTTACCACAAAAGTGACAACATAACCAACACATAACACAAAAGAAATTCTACCCATTTGGCTCAAACAAAGAAGTCTTAAATTCTTCCAGGTTGTTTTCTATCAAACAGAGCTATAATATAACTTTGTGACATCTTGTCTTCGAATTATGAATACTTTCCGACGATAATTAAATTGATAGGAAGGTTATTGGGTCTGTTAATGCTTTGTATAACTGGTTTTTGAAGTGAAATGGGTAACCAAATTGGGTGTGGTACATGTCACCCAATGAGCGAGCACTAAAGAGCCATAAAAGCAGGTGTTAAAAAAGTGAAAATGGTCCAAAGTACTATACATATACACAATGCACTTAATTAGATATTGCATGTATAAAGATCTTGTTGCAATGGATGTGCAATTTCTTAGTGTTTGTTATGTTTGTTGTACTTAACTAAGGTATATAACAGAATGGCTTTTGGTCCTACACTCCTACTTGTGTCTAACTGATGCTTTGAACTTAGTGGTTATGGGTTCAAGACTCAAAGTTAACAGTGTGTGTGTGTTTTCTTTGTTTATCCTTGCATTCTTAAAAGCTACCAATTGAAATTGTATTTTGCGATTGATTGATGTATTTGGAAAGTTCCTTGTTCTCAGAAGGTAAAATAAGTGGGATTTAAAGTTTTTCTCTTTATATAGTTGCTAATTGCAGTTGCTAGATTATACAAAGATATTGACATAAAGAAAAGTAGAAAAGTAGAAAATTAAGAAAGAAGACTTGAATTCTTAGAATCTTAGTTACTTACTTCTTGTGTAGAGATGAGACTTCTGTATTATGTCACTCTCACTCAGTCGGAGTCGGTCGGAGTCCACGAGAAAGGAGACGGCAACAGTCACTGACTTATGAACTTATGAACGGTGGCAATCGATTTTTTGCAACTTGGATTATGAACCAAAATTGAACAGTTCCTTGATTTTGTAAAGGCCTGGAAAAAATCTCCCGGAACTTAGCGTCGCAGTCAATCGTCGGCAGTAGGCAGCGGGCATGCAGTCAATCGTCGTCGGCAGACAGGCAACGGTCGGAGTCGGACGGCAGTGAGTGGTCGACGGTTTGTACTTCGGGTACGGCCACACGGGGATAGTCGCAAGAGGCAAGACGGGTCTCACTATTATTAGATAGCCCTACTACTAGCCAAGCAAGCCCCTATATGAAGGCCCAACGTAATCCCCTAACGAGTTCGGGTTTCAGGCGGGTTCGTGGGGTGGATCGTGGGATCCTACCCGATCCGCCATACCCACATAAATTTCGGATTCGGACATCGGGTGAAATCGGGCGATTATTTCGGTTTCGGTTTCGGGTTTCTTCGGGCGGGTTAATCGGGTAATTCGGGTTTTTCGGTTTTTGCTCAGCCCTACTTTTAATCCTTATTTTCAACTATTAGAAAATTGTCATGTGAGTCGCACATGACTATTTTAGTATTTTGGGGTAAGGACCAAATTTGTAAAATATTTTATTAAATAACTTTATCCATAGATTATACATAAATTAAGGGACCAGTTTCGTAAATATCTCATAAAATAAAGAGGGTGAGAGGGATGAAATATTCAGAGACGGAAACAAAACTAGGGTTCTCTTCTATGCTTTGGAACCTGGAGGAGAAAATAGGGGCTGTGTGGCTTCTCAATTGGCATCCCTTTTCAATAAGAGCAACTTCTTCAGCTTCAATCGCAGGTTAAATGTACGTTTTCTTTATAATTTAATCTTTCTTTTACGATATTTTTCTAATCGATCGCTGTTTGTTTGCTGATGATCTTAGGTTTAATTCTTGGTACCACGATTAGATTATTAAATGGAATTGACAATTTTATTACACTAAAATTATGGGGGTAATTACATTAAGGATGAACATTAGTTTGGAAGCACTTTGCAATTTCTCGTTTCCTTTTTTTTTTTGTGATATCGCTATAAACATGTTCTTTTAACGGTATTTCATTGAAATCATGATGGTTATGTTTGGATTTATACTGTTTTTTGTGATATCGCTATAAACATGTTCTTTTAATGGTATTTCATTGAAATCATGATGGTTATGTTTGAATTTATACTGTTTCTCTGTCTTTAATTTGGTACATTGATGTAAACGGATAGGGTTTGACATAAAAGATACTTGGGATTTATTGCGTTAAAAGGATATTGATGATAAAATGGCATCTTGATATGTAGGTATGCCTTTTTATGGCTACTTGCTTTACATATGTTTTCATAAGTAGAACTGTAGAAGCGATAGTAAAGAAAATAAGATCTTAACCTTGTCATGATGTCTCTGTTTTTCTGGAAAATGTGCACAAGCAGGCCTGTCTATTTTTACTTTCATTCAAACGCAGGATAGGCTTTTGATATATATATATATATTGTTTTGTTTTTGTAGAATATAAAGATAGGGACTAAGCAAGGATAGAGCGACAGCATTACATTAGTGTGCAAGGCACTAATATTTTAGTGGAAGCATGACAGCTCCAATTCAATGCTATAAATCCCAAGAAGCTGATGCAGCTGGAATGCTTATGTCTGGAGCACCTCAGCCTCCTACTCGCAGGTGGTATTTCAGCAGGAAAGACATAGAATGTCATACTCCATCAAGGTCTGATGGCATCGATTTCAAGCAGGAACAGCATCTACAAAAGCTGTACTGCTTTTTTCTGCAAGAGCTTGGCATAGAGCTTAAAGTGTAAGCACTTGTTCTCCTTCACTATCATGTGAGAAGGCACATGAACTCCGGAAGTATGAGAAGATAGCATATTTTATGATATAATATTTGAAAAACTTCTCTGATGATATTAGCTACAAGACTTCGTTTTCCTGGAAGTTTTTTTGTAGCTTTATCCAATTTGACGATGTTTTCTTATTAGAGATTACTTTTTGTTTTATGGGCAATACTTGTTAGATGATTTGTAATTTTTGTAGATTTGACGGGTTTATTGTCTTTCTTCTACTCTATTTATTTTGTGGAGTATTTGAAAGTGTTAGTAGTTTTGTAGGGTTTGATTTATCTTGTAAATTGATTTTAGCCTGTGGTTTCCCCAAGTTTATTGTAATTATTGCTTCATCGAGCTTTGGAACGACTGATAAGGTGACTCTTTCACGTATTCGAGTCATGGGAACATTCTTTTTGCAAGCCGCAAGGGAAATCCTTTGTGATAGGAAAGTCATGGATGTGAGTCATGGAGACAGCCTATTTGCAAAATGCAAGGGAAAGGCTGGGCGCAAAGCCTTCTTGATGGGATTTAAGAAAGAGTATAGTAGAGCCGGAGTGGTAACATGAAAATTTTGTCTTCAACTACTAGTGAGTACATATGCATGTTTCAGTGTTGAGCTTGCCTTCTCTGTAACCAATTAATATGTAACATCAGCTCTCTGCTAGCTTAAAGGAATTTCTAGTAAGGTGGTACCACTTCCTCTTTTTCTCTCATCCATAATTTCCTTACACTCTGTTCTCGTTTAAAAGTTTATATCACTATGTGCTAAATGGCAGTTGGTTATTGTTTCATATTGCAGGCCCCAGGTAACAATAGCAACAGCAATGATGTTTTGCCATCGGTTTTACATGCGGCAGTCCCATGCGAAGAATGATTGGCAGGTACATGTTTTGTTCAACATCTTTTTTCTTTTCTTAGATAATTTACTTTGATGATTTTGTTGTGTCCTTTGATGTTTGGCATATATATCCCTTGGGAAAGTAGATAACTCTTTGGCCAATCAAAGATATCCTACACAGACTTATAAAGTACATCTTGAATAAGGAAGTTGTGCATATGTGGATATGGAAACTGCAAGTTTAAGCGGTTTTCACCAATTAATAGAACCAAAAGAGAGATAAGACAAATCAGTAAAACCAAATAGAGTGAATTGTATAGTTTGAAAACAAATTGTCTTCAACCTCCAAGCTTGGTTTAGGACCTCTTTACCTCTCACAAATCTACTTGATCTCAGCATATCTTTTCACCTAAATGCTCTCAACTCTCTACACAGACATGATTTTCAAGTTATAAGTTCATTCCTAGTCAAACCACAGTTACCATACATTAAATCCAGTTCTCTCTTTGCTTGTTCAAACCATTTCACTTTTTCGATTTGAATGTGATGTCATTTTGCTAGACTGTCGTTTTAACTGTTTTAAGATTATAAGGTAAGGAACTTCCGATTTCTTAATATATTTTGAGTCCACCTAGGATTTCAGTACCGGCCAAGGGGTTGTCCTGTAAACACAGCAAAATTGAAGCTTAAATATTCATTTAAACTTCTCTTTTTTTTCTTTGTATTTGTTTTGTTACATAGGATTTTCAATGAAAGTTCTGTTGTCTTTTCTGCAATGAACTCCCTACTGCAATAATAATTCTATTTACATTTGCTTATGGTAAGGGTATGTAAAGTACAAAAGGTTAATGCACCCCACAAAGCAGTAAACACTCATTGTGCAAATAAAGAAAAGAAAATATAGTTATAAAGCTCCACCCCTTTACCCTGGACCAGAGGGAATGTAGAAGGGTTTTTGCAAGGAACTATGAAGCCATGTTGTGACCAACTTGCCAAAGCAGACAAACTACCATCAATGAAGATTGAACCATGTGAGTCGTCATTCACATGGGAAAACTGCTTGTGAGAGAATTATCACTTCTTTTGAACCTATCAAGACCATGAAACAGAGAAATAATTGCATGATCATGCAATATTTCTACTTCCTACCCCAACTCACTGTTACAAATTTCCAACTACCTCTCAAGCTTTGCTGACCATGCCTTATTGAATGACGCCTTCAGTATGCGAGAGACGGTAAAACTCTTTATTAAATTATACCACCAGTATGAAACTATGAATCTCAACAAGAATTATAGCTGAAAGCTACTGAGGTTTGATGTTGCCACTATTGAAGATCTAATGGAATGTGCCCTTAGCAAACAGTCTTCTTTACACCAGCTTATCTACATTCAAAGCCAGATAACATCTAAAACCTCATGGGTCCTAAAATGTGGCCAATAACGTTGTGATTGGCTGCTACACAAGGGGTCGAACAACTGCATGACTTCGGATACTTTTAACTCTTGGGCAAAGTTAATTGATTTAGCAGATATGTACTGTTCTTCTCTGCTGGCTGTCAAAATCAGTGTCCTGGTGTAATAATAGATTGTGTATTAGCATATATTATTTAATCATGGGAAAAGAACAGAAGAGGGTTGTATAGCTAACGAAACTCACCCAGTAAATCCCACTCGAAGAAGATTGTATAACTATATTTGGCAATCACAATGTAGAACTTAACAATGATTGCTTCTTGCAGACAATTGCAACTGTATGCATGTTCCTTGCTTGCAAAGCTGAAGAAACGCCACGATGGTTAGGTGAACTTGTTGTGGTGGCTTATAAGTTAATATACAAGTGGGATCCTTCAGCTTCACGGAGAATTCGGGTGTGGCAGACATACCTGTTAGCTATATCTTGGACATGTTTTCAATGTGGGTTCTTATCAGGCTCTTTATTCCTGTAGGAGATATATGATAAACAGAAGGAACTAATCTTAATTGGGGAAAGACTTCTCTTGGCTACTATTGCGTTTGATCTGAATATAGAACATCCATACAAGTCACTTGTTGCGGCTCTTAAGAGATTGGGTATTACACACAAAGAACTTGTAAAAGTAGCATGGAATTTTGTGAATGACTGGTATGTTGTATGCTATTTTTTTTTTCATGGGATCTTATAGATCTTTGAAAGTATATTCTTTTCAATTACATACACTGATTTTGATGCATTATCTATATAGGCTCCGTACCTCACTGTGCTTGCAGCACAAACCCCATTATATTGCCGCTGGTTCTCTGTTTCTTGCTGCCAAGGTTAAGAAGGTGAAATTACCTACAGCAAAAGGGAAGGCTTGGTGGATGGAATTTGATGTTTCACCCAAGCAATTAGAAGGCATGTTGAAACAAAATTATGTTACTCTTAACTTTTTCTTCCCATCAAACTTAACATTTTATATGGGCCGTTCACACCATCTATTATTCTATATTACTAGTTCATTCTCAAAGTCGACCTTTTAATTTAACCAACCCCACAGTTCTTATGTTTCATGAGCTTTTAGTATCATAAACGTTAGTTAGAGATCATGACTTTCTGTTCCTAAACCTGTTTGTACTGCCTAGCATTGCTAATTGTTATATAATGCTAATCATTTGCTATCCTTTTTGTAATTAGAATCATTATGATGTTGCTATCGACTCATATAATCTTGTAATATTCTGAAAACCAGTGTTAATTTGAGGATGTCTAAATTTTTAGGGAGGTTCTGGTTGGTTAATCTTTTACTATTCATTTGCTATATGCCACTCCGAATATCCTGATTTCTTTATTAAGGGACTGGCTATTATCATTTTATTTACCCATCTTTCCCATTCACTTGGGTTATGTTTTGCAGGTTCTATAATTTTTTACTCTTGCCGTGATTGCAAGTGATTGCCTTTCCTTGTGTCTTATGAATCTTCCCCTTCCTTTTTTCAGATGTCATCCAACAGATGATGAGTTTGTGGGAACAGAGTCAGAGCCAAACCCTAACACTGAAGGATCAGAATGTAACTGAATCTCTAATCAGAAAAGCGACAATCTATAGTCCACAATCCTCCACTTTGAGTGGCTCTAGTATTGTTCAGGATTCCAAGATGACCGCTTCTATGGATGCTGGTGGACCTGCAAAAGCTGCAACGTCTAATTGTGTCAAGAAACAGGCCTTTGACAACGTCCATGATACATCCAGAGAAACAATAAATTGTCATACCAGTGATAGTGGCAGTGCAAAAGATGTGACATCTGACTGTGTCAAGAAACACGCTTTTGACAATGTCCAAGGTGCATCAAAGGAAACACCAAATTGCCAAACCAGTGATACCGGCAGTGCAGTTAGTGTTGTTGAGGATGGCGATAGTGGTGAACCTGTCACAGTGAAGTCTGATCTAAGTTCAAGTTGCAAGATAGTTTCAGTGGGAGGTATAGTTGGCAATGGCCAGGTAGATGTAAATCGAATCAGAGAAAAGCTTAAGAAAAGGAATTTTGTTAAAACTATGAAAAGAAAGCACGTAGAAGACTTGGATGATGAAATCGATGGTGAAGCCTGGATAGAGAGAGAGTTGGAGGATGGCATAGTGCTGGAATCTTCATATGCTCAGAAGCAAATCAAGATTTAAAGTTTTGGTAATTCCCACCTCTATTGTTTCCGGAAGGGCCTTCTTGTTTGGAGGTGGGATTTGATCATTTTGTAAGTATTGTAACAACACTATTTAATAGTTGTACAATTATCTTCAGGCATTGTTGACAGTCTTCATCTCTTGCTCTTTTTTAACAGTTTTACTAGAAATTCAATTTCCACAAAGGTTTTATCAATGCTGGTTTTTTCCTCCATAAAGAAACCATTTTTACTGCTACTTTTTGGTTGATGGGGGAAAAGGGCTGTTGCAGACTTGCAGGTTGAGAAGTTGGAGGGTAGTGAAAGTTAGACCCTCATCTTTTTTATTGCATTCCAGATAGAAGTTACAGGAAATCAGCCATACGGACTGCTTATCGATTTCTGTCAAATAGATAGAGTTGCACCATCCTCTTCAAGGCCCAGCCTCAGCTTTTTACCTGTTAACAAGTAACTCCTGTTCTCGGTTCAACTGTTTTGCATATCTGTATTTTGTATTTTTTATGATCCTTGAATTGATCAACATATAAGTAGCCAAAATCTTCTTTTGTGATATGCTCACTTGCTTTACTGCTAGAGAGTTGTAGTTTTTTCAAGTTGCCAGCCATAGTGTTATATTACGAAGATCATAACACATTCCTAGTTTCCTAGAGGTTGAAATGCTATGTGATTGGCTCTCCTATTACTTAGATACAAACTAATTGCCTAAATTTCAATATGCAACTTCTATTTAATTACAACAAGGTGAGCAATAATGAGAAACAGAATGAGCAAAGAATAAATAGCAAAACAAAACAACATTGTGTCCTTTTGAAATCATCTTAACTTTAAATATCTTAAGGGTTAATGGATAAAGCTTTATATTATGCAAGTGCTTTGGAATAAATGACTTGATTAGTTTTTTTCTGCCTAAGCAAGTTATCTTAAGTTACAGAACAGTTACTCCAGCTAGGATGCTTGACATATCTTGCGTGAAATTTTGATAAACAGTTAAACAGGTTAACAACTATTGCTTGAAGATTATTGGTGATTAAACCCTGATTTTGCTAAACCTGCCTTGATCTCTAAGTTGTAGATGCGTGTTTCTTCCTTTCTTTGGATATGTGATAGATCATCAATTAGAGTTTCTTATGGTTATGGTAGTTCCTGCAAAGCTTATGCCTTCATGCCTTAAACTGGACCTCTTAAAGATAAACTGATAAACATACATGCTTAATCTCCAGAAAAGGACTAATTACTATAGGTTTCCTTGACTAAATCAATCTAATATCGGATGAAGTTACCAGTTCTAGATACTAATATAAATCGGCTGTAGGAAAGCATGCACTGATGCTATTCATGTTCAAAATCCTTGATTATTTTATCCTTCTCTAAGGCCTGATGCGTCCCATTTATTGCAATAAATTAAGGTTAAGTTGTCTTCAAGCTAATCTCGCTGTTGGTTTTCAATAAATAGGCAATTATTCTGGAGTTATATCATATATGAATATCAGCATCCCTGACGTTGGCTCTCCTTATATGCATATATATATATATATATATATATATATATATATATATATATATATATATATATATAGTTGTTTTGCTGTTCAAAGAGTTCTCTATTGTTTGACCAAGCTTTAATGTGGTTCCTTCTGTTAAAATCTTATTACAATTTTCACGCACCCAGTTACATGACCTGCTTCATGTTAATAGTAATCCATCTAATTTGAAGGCGTATGAAACAAGGTAGAGATATAAAGATCAGGCTGGAGAGGTGATTGAAGTTTGATCATCATAGCTGATCTTTCTTCTTACAAGTGACATAGAGGTATGTACAGTATGTTCTTTATTTTGGATTTTTAGTTATTAAAAACTAGTACATGGCTTCATGAAAGTTGGTGCTTTTCAATATGAGTTCTCCTCTGGCTTTTATAATTGAAACATCTAATCTGAACACTTCAATAGTACACTCCACAAGATCGTTTATTGGTCAAGCAAAATTAACTTTAGAACTTCTGAGTAGGAGTCTTATCCTATTACTGAACCATCTTCCACTGATCATTTAGGGCTTGTTTGGTAGCAGCTTAATGGGACTCAGCTTATTCGGTCACCTATACATGATTGTTTGATAGTGGCTAAATGATATAGAAAGTGACTTATCCACTAAGCTTCTAGAGGTAGCTTTATATAGAAAGCCAAGTTTTTTCCAAATCTGTTCCTCTCAATTAAAAAACATGCTTCCATCTATGAAAAAACCTTCCCAATCTATACAGACAGATTAATCCACACAAACATCTTTATCCATACATGACTTAATAGAAAACCAACCAAACAGCCCCTTACTATGATGAACTTGTGCTCCTGCATTACTTATTTTTGTTGACGGGTTATTCAAGAGAATAGTTTATTTAAATGCATGACTTTCTAATAGGTTTAAGAACGTCTTTGTGTAGCTGAAGAATGCCTATTCTTAGCACAAGAATACAATCATGTTCATGCTTTAAAAATAATTATGTCTGCAGGATATTCTTCTAAATAACTCCTTTAACCATGGTCGAGTCGTTAAAACAAACAAAATAGTTGCCTCCACCATCTTGGTACACCAGGTTCACACCTATAATTTTCTTTTTCTTTAGCATGTGACATCAAACCAAATCAAACGAGCCTAGTATATCCCACCACGGGGGGGGGGGGGGGAGTCTGGGAGGGTAAGATGTATGCAAACCTGACTTATATCTCAAAGAGAAACATTGTTTCCTTGAAAACCCTGTCTTTATCACTCTGTTTACCTGATTAGTACTTGTAATGATTTCCTCAGCCAAGGTCGGGTAGTTTGTGCCAAACACACGCACACATGAACCACTTAGAAAGTGGCTTGATTAATGGCGGAAAGAAAGAAGCAAAAACAAAAAGGCTAGATTCCCTTAACAAGTAGATATAGATAACGCGGTCTGGCTATCGTTGGACATTTGGTCTACGTGATATGATATGTTCGGGCGTACAATCTGATGGAGCCACTTTCTTTGGTCATCTTCGCTTTGCTGCTTTTCTTTCGATGTTTAATTGACTCGAAAAAGAGAGGTCTGCTTTACTTATCCAATCAATTTCCACACATGGCTTTTGCTTTATTTTGCAACTGCTTTATTTTTATTTTTTATTTACCAGAAATGTGAATACTTGAAGACCAAGTTTTCAAGTTAGCAGGGAGTGTTTTAACCATTATAATCATTGTAAATTATCGCTGTCATTGATTTTGGCTCATGAACGGATGGTTTTCCCGTTATTGGACGATGCTTCTAAACGACTCTTTGAATCGATGGTCAAATTTATTTCATTACTAATGAGTCGGATAGACTTTTTTGACGCAAAAGAAAAGCAAAAGTCATGAAAAGTCGAGGTGAAATGGTGAAATGGGAAGGAAGGCTAAAAAGATGTACTTGTAGGTTGAGGTGGAAAGATTGATGTGAACTTTTTGAACGTTTGATGCTTAGCAAAATCACGAATGGAGGCCAGTCTTTTTTCAAACCCTTTGTGTAAAATCTTTATGCTTAAGGGGCCCTGCTTACCAGATACTTACTGTTTTAAGTGCTTGGTGGCTGAAGTCACCATTATCACTTATCTTAGAGTAACATTTTTGGCCATCAAAATGAATGAATAGTTGGTAAGTGTATTTTACTTGCTAAGCGATGACTGGGCAAGTCTTTTCCTTCATCAGGTAAGATCTCGGTTGTTGCTAGGTCTTTTACTGGGTAAGATTTTCAGTACTTTGACTTGTCATGCTTACCAAGGTAAGCTCCTAACAGATAAGCGTTTGGTAAATGGTCCTTAAGATAACGTGTTAGAAGCGTTTTTTTTATACCATATCTTGATTGAATCTAGGGTCAAATATAACGTGTCTTTTATTTTTATGGGAAAGTATAGAAAAATCCAATGAACTTTTCCATTTTGAATTATTAAGTCTAAGAATTTATTTTTTTGATGAATAAATTTTCAAACTTTTTCATTTTGAATGATTAAGTTCTTGAATAATTCTTTAATAAATAAAACTATCAAACTTTTAGAAATTGGTTACCTACATTCTTTTAATCCAGAAAAATTTGAATCCAAAAAAATCACCTGTAGTTGGATAGGAGGGATTTAAAGTAAAAAAAAAAGTCCTAAATTAGTTTGACTGTTTCCAAATCCTATATCATTCAAACCTTTACATCCAACATTGCTTCTCTCCACCTTTTGCTATCTCATTGCCGTGGTTAATCCCTACCATTGATCTCTCTCTTTTTGATTTGTTTTTGTCTTATGATTCTCTCTTTTCTACAATAATCCAATGAAGTACGTATAAAAAGATTAAAAAAAAGAGGGAGAACAAAAAAGCACTCAAGAGAGTGCATTGGTAACGGCCAATGATAGTGATGAGCAGTGATAGAGTGTGAACGACGATAGGGCTGCATAGGATGGAGAGAGGAAGGGATAGCGTTGGGTGCAAGGAGTTTGAATGACGTACGGTCTAAGAATTGTTAAACCGACTAAGGTTTTTTTACTTTAAAACTTCAATTACTAGTTACTGGTAGTTTTTTTGGGTTTAAAAGATGTGGGTAATCAATTTCTAAAAATTTGATAGTTTATTCATTAAAAAACTGTTCAGGGACTTAATCATTCAAATGAGAAGTCGATAGAGTTGGCTAGACCCCCTGCCATGTAGAAAACACTAAAATGCTTAAAGATTCTTGATGGGGAACCCGTTACTCTTTTCGCTGTTATCAAGCTAGCTAAATCTCATTTCCCTTTAATTGTTTATTCATCAAAAAAAAGTTAAAGAAACTTAATCATTTAAAATAATTTTTTTTTGAGTTAATTGGTTCATAAAAGTTGAATCTATAACATGAAGGCTCAATATAATTGATGCATGTATATTTTTGGCGTTCAGTTTGGTCCAGACCGACAAAATGCTCAAATCGCAGACCAGACCGGATCGAACAGTTGTAAAAAATTTCAAATTGAACCGGATCGCCAAACTGTTCAAACCGTAAAAAGCGGTCTAGTTTAACTTAGTTCGACCGATTTAAGCGGTCCAACGATTTTTTTAAACACTCCAAATTCTCGCATCCAAGATGAACTCAACCAAAAACAATAGCGTGTTTTTTTTTTTTT